GTCAGAGGTCACAGGTTTGGGATTAACTGATACTAGACGCCTAAATAATCTGTTTGGTCATGTTGTTGACCTGCCAGAAAAGAACTGGTTTTCCCATAATGATTGTGCCCAGACTGCAGAGACAACCTGGCAGCCCAGTGATTGAGAAAGCAGGATAATTTTCTAAAAATGGCAGCTGTGAGCTGGTGTTTTGACGTTAGCACACCTCTGTTTCCTTTTTTTGGTGTGTAAAGATTAGAACACTGTTGACTTTAGGCCAGAAAATGGGGACTTTGGTTTTATATTTACGGTTACTTATTGAGAAATACCATGTTCTGACAGTTTCTTGATGCTTTCAGTCAGATCTAATCAATACTTGATGATCCATACATCTACTTTCTTTTCTGCGTTGGAGGAGTAGGCTATTTTTTGCTCAGCGGCATCAAACGTGCCACACAAAGTGGCTGTAATAATGAGCCCAGATGCACATGAAGTCATTTGTTTTGCCAAAGCACCTGTTGTCACCACCCTCTATGGGATGTACATTGCCATAGTAACACCACACCTACTGCTACACAGTAGAGTCTCCGTTGAGCTTTGTGGTTTCACTACAGGTTTCACTCTCTTTTCTTTGGCTCTTTCACTCCTCCCAACTAATGCCTGCTTTCTTCCTCTCTTCCTTTCTGTCTTTTTCAGTCCCTCTCACACAGGCAGTAAACTGTATCTCCCCTCCTCATGTGTGACCCACCCATACTTTCACTCTTTGTCTCTCTTTCTCTCTCTCTCTCTCTCTCTCTCACACACACACACACACACACACACACACACACACTCTTACATGTTCACACAAACAGGGCACTTGCGCCTGACTGCTTTAATCGCTGAATAGGGGAGTTTAGCAGTTAACAATAGTTATGATCTGACCCATTATTCTCACACACTGAGTGAGAGTGAGTTAACACTGAAAGGCTGTATTGTAATGAGTATTATTTATGTTTATTGTTTGTTGATAAGGGAAAATGGCTTTACTATGATGTGTAATTTACATATCTTGCCAATAAAGCAGATTGCAATAACGGTGGAAAAAAGAAAAGACGTGAGAATAATAAATATACCATTGTCAGTACTATGTGTTAAAAACAAATGAACTGAATGTGAAAAATACAAGCATAAATAAATTCACAGGGTCTGGTTATTAAAATGAGCACATTTGTTGCATTTATCAATTTAAAATGGTTGCAGTTTGAATATCTTTTGCTTAACAAAATGAGTCATTTCAAAATGTCACCTTGGACTCTAAAAACTTTGGGTAATTGTCTCTATTTTATTACATTTAGTAGATGTTCAGCCAAAATATAGTCAACAGATTAAGAGTTAAATAACAATTTAAACTAAAATAGCTGTTTTTAGAGTTTTAAAACAATATAAAAGCACCATATATCTCATCAAATGTGAAGTGCTAGTAGAGTTGAATCGGGCAGGTCCTGCAGTCCCTGAAGTTGCACAGAGCTGAATGGAGGGCCCCGGTGTTGCTGAAGCAGCAGACAATAGCAGTTATGAGCTGACAGTAATAACACAGTAAAAGAAATAATAACATAGCACTGGCCATTTAAGCATCACTTCTGAGCTGACCTTTCATTTGGTAGGCTCAAAGTGAAGGCAGCAAAAAGACACTAGGGAGCATTTGTGTTGATGCATGCGTGGTGTCAGGGTAGTGATGGGTTGATATCAGGTGGAGAAGAGATGTAGAGGTGGAGAGAATGAATGGATAGACAGGCAAGCAGACACACAAACATAAATAGAGATTATCCTTTTTGTAATCCTCATTTCGGGGGTCAGTGCAGTGCAAAGAGATGGGCATGTTCAGAATTTTCACACCAGCAGTCTCTCCGTGTGTGTGTGAACTGTGTCTCACCCAGACCCATAGTTGATGTGTTTGTCGCTAATTCTGTGAGTAGGTACTTACATAAAATTCGGAATCTGTTCATGTGTGTGTTTGGTATATATGTGTGCGTATGTGTGACAGATGGGCAGATTGTACAAGAGAACAGCACAGATTAGGATTCTGAAGTCTGTGTGTGGTTATTTCAAAACCCAACAGGGGCTCAGTAACTGTCAGAGTGTGGTGGAATGGGAGATGAGAAGATGTTAGCTTGTCCCATCAGTGTCAACATATGACATGTCTTAGTGCAGTCTGCAGGAATGGATTATTCATTCATTCATTTTCTACTGCTTAGTCCCTGAACGGGGGCA